CAGTATGGTTTAATGTTCTATTCCTTAAAAAATACTTCCTAAAAGTAAGGCTGGATACTTTAAATGCGGAACTGTTAATGCTCTATCTAGTCTGAGTCCTGCTACAGGAGAGGAAAGATGGTTTACTTTATAGACCATCGACTGAAGTGGGGTTTCATGATTGTCCGGTGAGCACACAGGCATCGTCCTCCTGAGAGGATTTGATACTAGTCAGAAAAATGCTAATGACCACTCACAGTCTCCATTCTCGTGGGATCACTTGCTGTCTACCTGTGGTGTCACCACTCTACGGTTTAGTCTTAGAACACTCCAGCAAAAATAGTGTTAGACAGAATTTGGTTTTGTAGCTGTGTCCATAACTGTCCTTACATCACAGACTAAACCTGAAGGATGTTGAACATCAGCACCGCCTGCTGACACCAGCCTCTGGTGGACTACAAAGAAGGCTTTGTCCTTCCTTACAGTGTCAAAAAATAAAACAAAAAGTGGTTTGTGCAGGTTAATTGTACGTTTTCCTAACTATTGCATTTGGATCTTTACTATATTGCTTGCCCAAGTATACTCCATAAAAGACTACTGGACATCAGAAGCTGAAGTAGACAGCGGCTCACAGGTTTAGGCCCTGGGAATAGCAGGTTTTCATGTAAGAGGAAAAGAGGACCTCGATAAAAAGCTTTAACAATATTTATTGTCCTCAGGTTTGCAAGACTTCTGTCGACCTTTTTTATTTCAATATCTACACGCAAGCACTGAGCCTTTTAAACATACCATTTAAACATACCAAAAGGCAACTTCATCCTCATATAGCATTCTTTTCCTTCAGCATATTTGATTTTCACAGATGTTTAAATGGATTTAAGATGAAAATACACTGTGATTCCTCCAATACATTTTAACTGGATTAATTCTTCAATTTTTTTGTGAATGAAGGCGGGTAAGTTAGTGAGAACGCAGTATTACATCTTTGGGGACCAAGGTCTGGAACCTCTGCAATAGCAAGAACAGTACTTAATTACCTTAACCTGTGACTGAATGGGTGATTGCACCACTCTGCATGGCAATTAATTAATGTGCATACCCTGCATAAATCATATTCATTACGCACTGTCATTATTTAATGATATTCTACTTATTCTCCATGTGTTTAGACTTTTAAGACGGGGATATAGACAATCTTCCCCGCATCTTGCTTTTTTTTTTTCATTAACAAAGCTAATGTAAAACTCTAATTACAGTCAGATGAGAACATTGTTAATGCTCTTCCACCAGTTCTTGAAGGAATAAAAAATGTAAGTTGAACACTCAAACTCCCTGAGTTTTACACAATGATTTAAACAATGAGGTAAAACATTGAACTTTAAGATTGTTGAACGCACAAAAATATGAAGGCAAAGATCAGCTCCTAATTACAACAGAAGTCATTGTAGTTAAATTTCCTCTGCACATGCAGAATCTTAAAGATGATTTACAATTGGGAAGATCAGGCAAGTAATTCATGTCTGTCTGGGCCGCGTTATACATCTGTGTATTTCATTAGTGTTCTGTTAGGTCTAGTTACAAAATTATAACAGCTTGTATAAAATTTGCACTGAAGCTGTAAAAGAACTAGATGTAACGTAATTTTTGGTGAGCAAAACTGCTGTAGAGTGCTAGCGGGATATGCTAAGCATGAGAAGAACACATGGAGCTCTCATTTTGACCCACGATGACCAGAAATTTAAATAAAGACAAGTACCTTTTCATACCATTTGAACCCTGAATCCATAATCTCAAGCTACTGCTGAAAATCAGTGACAACACAGAGTGAACTATCTGCAAGCTGCATTATAGTAGGTGTTAAAATAGATTTAAAAGGAGTTACTGAACAGACTGTGCTTGAGATGTAAGGAAATTTCAGAGGGCTCTCTATTTTCCTGAAGTGAAGACAGAAGGCCGCATTTCTTTACCCCACAGCAGTAAGAGAAACAAGTTAGGATGTTTCATTCCAGCACTTTACCACGTAGGCTGTGTCACCACTTGGGCACCTGGAAATGAGTCTGAGGCTTAGTGACAGCCATGTGAAAGTAACATTTGGTAGCGTATTATTACTAAAGGGTGAAATGGGCAAAAAAAAGTTTAGAAAGTGATTTTAATTCTTAAAGGTAGCTGAAGTGCTGTGTGGGAGAGGTTCGGACAAGTTCACATTCAACAGAGTGTGAGCACGTGCATCTTCTCCATGTGTTGGGGAATAACTGACTCACTGGAGCTGTTAATTGCAAAGACACAAGGTATCACCAGGCAGCTTTAATTCTGCCTTTTCGGCACCAAATTCCTGAGAAATACTACCTGAAGTGTTCCTGCACGCCAAAGAGGAACTCTTTCC